AATTTAAATTTGTCCTAAATTAGGCGCTTATGTGGCTTTTTAAATGACCTCTTGTCATTCTCTGTAATTAACATGTCATTGCGTCAAATTCGGGATTTTATTTTTATTTAACATATTTTAGTTTTCTACTTTTATTTTTTATTTATTATGATCCTATAAACGATTTGATTGTTTTTTTTTTTTTAACTTTTTTTTTTTTTCTGTGATCCGATCCGTGATCCGATCCGCGATCCGGTCCGTGATCCAATCCGTGATCCGGTCCGGTCCGATCCTTGTTTTGTCGACGCCGAAATTCAACCAACATTTCAAAAACCGTGTCCAACATTCTGACATCGTTTGAGCATATTTTACAAGGCCCAACGATGTTTACACGAGGCCATTGATTAAAATACTTTGACAGATCAACCACGGCTTTACTTGGTTTCCGTCAAAAAAAAAAAAACAGTCGGCCGTTATCAACGAAAGATAAAGTTAACCGACGTAGGTAAAGGCCAAAGCCCTGCCCTAACCAAGAGTGTTTTGGCGCTCGTCATCAGCTTAACTACGGCTTCCTAGCGAAAGAAAATAAGACTAAAAAAATGGCTACTTCCCCTAGATGAGGTGCCATTCCATGTCAGATCGCCCTTCCAGAGGATTTGACAAGGCTTTCTGTTTTGATCTGGTTTTATTTTTATTTTATTTCAATCAACCATCTAGCCACGCTTTTGTGTATCTCAAGTTATCGACGCAACTCGATCTCCATAGAAGACATTTATTCCATTATAAACTATATAAAAGCATAAATTTGACAAAACTTATAAACTATTATATTAATTAAGGATAAAATCCTGCAAACGAGATTGAGGGAAAATTTCTTTAAAACGATCTGCAGGTACCAAATAACCTCTCTTACAGCAGTGGAAATCACATTGCTAAGTCTTCAAAACTTTAAAGATTCCGAGAAATTTGCTATTTACAAAGATAAAAATAGCTAACTTTGATCACCTTTAACTTGTCGAAATGCAAACACTGCTGACTGGAAATAACTTGAATTTTTATGCTATTACACAATAAATAAATTTGAGGGATTTGGTAATACATTGCAGTAAATAAAAAATCACTATATCCCCAATTTCTCTAATGACAAAACTAAATGCCGAACACCGAGTACAATTATTCGCCACAATTTTTACCCTAACTAAAATGTGAACGCTCGTGTGCGGAAAGGTGGTCTTTCCTCTTGGCGGCATATCCACAAATGGCACACTGGAAGGGTTTTTCATCATTATGTCGGCTGTTCATGTGACGAAGAACGGATCTTTTCTGGGTAAACAAGGAGTGACAGATCTCGCACTTGAATCTCTTCTTGGACTTGGGCTTGACAAATTTTCCTGGACGTATTGATGACACTTCATCTTGTTTGTCGCATGTTACCTCGGGACAAGATACGTGTCGTTTTCGCAAAGATTTGAGATTGCTCTTGCTCTGTAAAGACCACAAAATGGTTCTCAACGGCTGTCTGGGCAATCTCTTGATATTGCACGAGGATTCGCCAGTGTACCCATGATGAATTTTGTCAACGTGTTTACTCCATTCGCTTTTTGTGCGGAGAGTTGTACAACAAATCTCACATTTGTATGGTTCACTGGTCGTTACAGCCACGGAAGGTCTAGTCTTAAGGCAGTTTCCAGCATCGGAACTACCATCTCGAAGGATGTTTCTTTGTGAAGGGGAAATATGTCGCCTTGTTGGGTCTCCATGAGAGTAACTGGACGCACTTTCGTTGCATACAGCATTGAACGAGTCTGACAACTCGGAAACCTTCATAGTCGGCAATGCCTTCGAATCCGTGACCCCTTGATCGGCTAAGGCTTGAGACCCAGAATGAACAAGGAAAAAGTGCTTGTATTGGAGACTGAACGTAGAGAATCTCTTGTCACAAAATTCGCACGGAAATGGTTTACTGCTAGTTACAGTTTGCCTATTGAAGGACCACATTCCCGCAGGGTCGCCAGATCCGAAGTTGACATCGTGCCTTCTGAATTTCTTGTTTTCAGGTTGACAATCTAAGTTTGATACGTCTTTCTTTCTTTTTATAGGAGTTGATGAAGATGCAATGCTTCGATCACTGCAAAACAACGGCATTGCTGCACTAGTCTTGTCAGTGGGAACTTGTGGTTTCAACTGGCAGACCTTGGAAAAGGCGTTGGTAACTCCAGTGTGTGCAAGCATAACGTGTCTGTAACGACTAGTAACTTGGAGGAATTGCTTAGGGCAATATTCGCACGGAAATGCCTTGTTCCTTGGATAGCACTTTTTTGCGTGCGGTCCATCTATACAAGCTCTTGATTTACCCTCGCGGTTATTTTCATCTTTACTCCATAGTGGCCTCTCGTGCAAAGTTTTGCTGATGAAAGTCTTATCCACATCAAGTTTGGGCCGCAAAGACGAAGGTGCAACTTGATTTCCATGCGATTTTATCTCATGTCTGCCACGGCAACCTCTACTAAGGAACTCTCTTCTAGAGTACCAGCATCTAAACCGATTACATTGGACGGTGTGTTTTGTCCCTCGTGTACCCGCTTTCATTCTAACCGTCTTGAATTTCACCCCTCTTGGCTGAGCATTAAGATTCCTGGCTACGCTGTGATCTTCACAATTCTGGAAAGCCTTTACGCTTACATTTGCTGCACAAGCTTGGGGAATAGAGCTGTTCTTCCTTTCAGACTGATTAACAAAGCGTGTGCATGAACCATGATAATTCGATCCAAATTCCTTTCCGTGTGCAATCATGATGTGCTTGTAAAGGCTATTAATTTTAGAAACGCCTTTTTGGCAGTATTGGCACTTGAACGCCCTTGCTGAGGCCAATAATTGACCATTTTTCTTCTGACGAAGGCAATGCATCTCGTCCTGAATAACACTACTGACAAACTCGTCTTCACACCCAGACCCGTTGTCATTTCCTTCGAGAGACAATTCTTTATTACAATGAATACAATAGACACATTTGTTGCCACTTCCGAATGCAAAGAATCGAGCTTTGCAACGACGGCACACTTCCAGTGCTCCCAGGGTCGTTCCACTGTTGGTGACCTCAGTGCCATCTTTTCCTTCCTGCTTGCAGTCTTGCTCAGGAGATTGATACCTCTTCTTCCTGGAGTGCTTTTTCGTGACGTGTTTTTTCATACCACTTACACTCTGGAAGACCTTACTGCAGAACTGGCATTTCCAAGGAGCAATTTTTGCCGGTACTGACCACGACTGCGTTCTCTCGGTTACGTTGCTGTTGTCGATCTCGATGCCATCTTTCTCCTCTGGCTTGCACACTTTGTGAGATGCTTCAGACTTTATCCGACTGGAGTGTCTTTTCTTGACATGTTTTTGCATACAACTGACACTCTGGCATACCTTACTGCAGAACTGGCATTTCCAAGGAGCAAGTTTTACCCATTCTGACCACGACTGCGTTCTCTCGGTCGCTTTGCTGTTGTTGATCTCGATGTCATCTTTCTCCTCTGGCTTACACCCTTGATGAGATACTTCAGACTTCCTTCTCTTGAGGTGTTTTTTCTTGACATGTTTTTCCACACCACTGACACTAGGGAATACCTTACTGCAGAACCGGCATTTCCAAGGAGCAATATTTAGCCATTCTGACCACGACTGCGTTCTCCCGGTTACTTTGCTGTTAGTGGTCTCGATGCCATCTTTCTCCTGTGGCTTACACCCTTGGCGAGAAGCTTCAGACTTCCTCCTCTTGGAGTGGTTTTTCTTGACATGTTTTTTCATGCCACTGACGCTCTGAAATACCTTACTACAGAACTCGCATTTCCAAGGGGCAATCGTATCTGCTTCTGAACACGTGTGTGTTCTCTCGGCCACTTTGCTGTTGGTCGTCTCGATGCCATCTTTGTCTTCTTTCTTGCACCCTTGTTGATCTTCAGACCTCTTCCTCTTGGCGTGTTTATTCTTGACATGCTTTTTCATAGCACTGCCATTCTGGAATACTTCACTACAGTACGGGCATTTCCAAAGTCCAACTTTGCTCTCCTCACTATGGTACTTTCGCATGTGTTTGTAGCGACCCTTGCACGTCATGAATCGCTTATCACAATGCAGACAACAAATCTGTGGAACCCTTAACGCTTCACATTTCACTGGATCAGTCTCGGTCGATGAAGGGCACTTCTGGTCCTGCTTTACAGAGTCGTGTTTCAAAAAGTGTCTTAGTCGTCCCTGAACAGTTCGGAATCCTTCACCACAGCGTTGACATTTGTATGGCCGATCGTGCTGATTTCGTTTGTGTCGCAATAAATTTTGCTTAAACGAAAACCCTTTACGACAGAAAGGGCACGCAAAAGCGGTTTTTATTCCAGCATGCGAACGCTTGTGTTGAGACAAGGAACGTCTGGACTGGAATGACTCGCAGCAAACTTTACAAACACGAGGTTCCTGTGTATTTGCATCAACGACTTGTTTGGGTAAAGTAACCTGCATCTTACCAAACCGAGAGTGATGACTTTTATGCGATCTCAATGAATCTTTTGAGGTGAATTCTCTTGCACAAACATCGCATTTGAAGCGTTTATCTTCTGATAGAAATTTTGAAGATTTGGGTGATGGATTTGGCGGTGACGAATGATTAGAATGAGAAGTGTTTCGACTGTGGTGAGTCATGTGAGAGCGTAAAGATGTTTCCTTATGGAAAGATTCGTTGTAGACCTTACAATGGACAGCTGAACTTTCGACCCGTTTCACAGAAGACCAAGAGACACTTAGGGCATTTTCAGCACGGTGGCATTTATGCTGGCGCAGTGATTCTTTCGAATTGAATGGTTTGTCACAACGATCACAGGACATTTCTCGAACTCGTTTCTTTTTCCGAAAATGGCAACCTTTGTGGCAGTGCATCAACCGCAAAGAAGGGAACTCTTTACAGCAAACTCCACATGTGAACTGTCCATTCCTGGGTTGAGCCGTGTCCAGGCGTGGAGTTTCCTTATTTGGCGTTATGGATGAGACACCAAACGGATTCAGTAGTGCTCGATTTTTCTTCCTAAAGTGGGCAGCTCTGTGGCAATACATCAAGGACAAAGAAGAAAAAACTTTAGCACAGAATTCGCATCTAAACTTCTCACTACTGTATGCTGTATGATCTTGAGAAGAACTCTGGGAAATGTTGTATTTGCCGTCTAATGCTTGCATAGTTCTCGCGGACTCGGATTCCTGCGCGGTGGCACCTTCGTTCATCGATACCTTTCGGTAAATGTATGGACTTTCCTTATTTGACACTTTGGATGTCACACCAAGCGAAACCGGCAGGGTTGGATTTTTCTTCCTAAAGTGGGCAGCCCTGTGGCAATGCATCAAGGACAAAGAAGGAAAACCTTTGGTACAGAATTCACATCTAAACTCCACGCTGCTGTATACTGTTTGATCTTGCGAAGGTCTCTGAGATATGTTGTGTTTTCCATCTGATGCTTGCACAGTTCTCTTGGACTCGGAGTCCTGCGTCGTTGTACCTTCGTTCACCTTTGCCTTTTGGTAAACGCATGCGTGATTGAGTAGCTGACATTCTGGAAACGTAAAGTTACACTGACTGCATTTAACAGATTCAAGTGAGGATTGTTTGGAGTCATATTTTCTTGTTTCATGTTTCATGGCAATGTGTACAGCTAACTCACGTTTAGAAACACACACCTTTGCGCACTTTCTACACTTGATAATCTTAACCCGTGGGTGCTTTTCTCGAATGTGCCTTGCTAAGTTGAAAGAATAAGCAAAGGGAGCCTTACAAATCTGGCAAACATGGCAGGTCGAGTACTTTTTACCTCTTACTACCAATAAACCTTTTGTGGGAAAATTCTGCACAGAGTTTGAAGTTGTCTTCTGAGAAATCCCTCCTTTGTCAGACTTGCCTTCGCTCACGTTTTTGTTAACATGAATTCTCTTGTGATTAGATAAACCAATTCCAGACGTGAAACAAAGACCGCAATGCTGACACTTGTAGGGTTCTGCAAGGAAGGAAGGCTTATGCAAAGCTTCATGCCTAAGTAAATTCTCTTTCTTTCGAAAGAGCTTACCGCATGTTTTGCACGTACATGCATCAGCATTCCTGTGTAGCAACCGTTTCTTGTGCCGCCTCAGACATTTCCAGTCAGCAAACGCTTTGTCACATTCAGTACATTCAAACTTGCCATTGGAAAGACGTCTGTATGCGTGAACTGTCTTTTCATGGTGTCCAAGACTAATTGAATTGCTAAACACCATGCCACACATCTTGCAACTGCAAATCATATTGAAGTGCAGGCTATGGTGCCTATTTCTCGACGATGGATGGGAGAAGACTTTGCCACAAATCCGACATGCATAAGGCTTGAGGCCTTTATGGATGTTCTTGTGTCTTTGTAGACTTTGAGGTGTTTTAAAGCTTCTGTCGCAGTGGATGCACCGCCAGAGGTGGTGCTCGTTGTTTATTTGACAGCGGAACTTGTTGTGAGTGGCCAGGGAAGATGGTCCTGAACAGACCATGAAGCACTTTTGACACTGTATCGGTCCATCTGTATAAAAAGAAATATACAGGAAAAGTCTCATTTACAGCTACCGCTATTTTCTTTTTGTTGAGTTCTGAAATACAAAAATCGAAGCCAATCACATCATCAAAATAGTGGAACACATGCCTGCAATTTTGTCAGATTCATCTTTATTTAATATATCCAAATCGCAAGCGTATCTGTCTCCGTACCACACCAGGAGCTCCATGCCGGGCTCAATTGTCTTGTAGGCGCGATAGTAAATTTCACCTCGGAACTGGAAGGCTACAAGATTCTGCTCATCATCATTACGGGCACAGTTCACAAAACGTAGCCAATTACTGTTTTCCTCATCCCGAGCATCAACAACATGCGTGACACGTCCATTTTCAATTATCTGCAAATGAGAAGAGTTCACCTGAGACGCAGTAGAACTGTTTCACTGCTGGTTTACAAGTTTTATGCCGAGGCAAACGCAAAATTAAACTATGTTCACGCAAGCGACATGAATTCGATACACCTTTCTACAAAGGTGGATGTTCGGTTTGTGTTTGCGATGTTAACAAATCAAACAAACGCAAACCAAAATGCTAGAAAAGGGACAACCTGCGATTTTTTCCGACGCCTAGTTTTATTATGGTAAATATCCTCACATGTTCTTGCGTGTAAACCATACTTTATGGGTAGGAAAGATAACTACAACGCTGGCGGATTTTACTCCTTAGAACTGAATAACGACGACTTCGAGTTTTTATCTTGACTAGACCTAATATCTTACAAGTGACCCTACAACGTTAGACGGGAAAACAAGTTATAGCTTAGTGAGAAGTTTGACTCAGCCCTAAGTTTTTGATACCGAAGTTGCTAAGCAATATTACGGTTTCTGAGAACGACTACTCAGCGAACTTGTACTAATTATAAGGTTCTTTCTTACATCCCACATGTAGCTCTGATCCATGCTTGGAGTTACATCTGTCACGCCTATCTTTTGGCCCCAGTAAGGGCCAAAGACTACATCACTTTCAAATCTCTCTTTGGCAAAGATTCCCAATCCGGCATCTAAAACGAACAGGCACAATTTAATACCACTGAACAAACACTTGACTCTTTTGCATTCTTGACCACAACAAAACAACAAAATTTACGTTCTCACAGAATATTGCTTCAAGGTGGTCGATTGGCCAATCTTAACTTGCTTCCTGTCATAATATTACTATAGGAAACTGAGTTACGATTCAGATTTGCCACTCATAAGACTGGATATCTCCGGCTTTTCCCTGATTTTTCAGTTTACCACAAAAAATTCAAATTGTCAATTTCTTACTTTTCCTAGAATGTGGAAACTCTACAAGATGCTCTGCTAGTGTTTTTGACTGACCATCTATCTAGTTGTTAGCTATCAAGATGTTAGTTGAAGGAGTCGTGTCACAATACTTTTAGTTGTTGTCTGCGAGTCACAAAATTTGGTACCTTCAAAATGTAAGAGACCTCAAAATCATACTGTGCTACAACATGTAAGATAAACAAGCATCAAAAGGCAACAATTAAACAAAAATGCTGTGCGGTTGTTGTAGAATGGGGATGTTTACAAAGGATTGTGACTGAAAACCGTGAAGAAATTAGGCCAAACTTTTCAAGATGGACAAACCGTGACCTAGCTTTTATCAACAACTTTTGAAACAAATTGCGCTAGTAATCCAATCGAGACAATCAGATTTTACCCACCCGGTATACTTGAAGTCTTCAAATCCATGTTACTTGGAATAGTGGACCTTGCTTTCGTCAGTCCTTCTTTTACGAACACATCTGTGGGTTCCTTAACCCACTTCAAACTACCATGAACGGAACAATTACCAATGCGCAGTTTGTCACACTGACTGCAAACTAAACAAGACTCCCAATGTTAGTTTCAAGGTTTGGTCATGAAATGAGACAGATGCCCGAGATTGAAAGGGCATGACTACAAAACCATGCAATCGGAAGTTGGCAATATTTAAAGGACTTGGTTGATAGATGATAAAGTTTGTCTCCAGCAACTTTTTCCATCCAAACCTTTTTATTTTAAAAAACTTTCAAAACGCCACAAAAATGTGCAGTATAAAGAAAATTATCTAAAGAATCAATGGTCTCAAAATGGACAGTCGCACAAGTCCATGCTTGACTAGTTTGTCATGCTCTTTCCATTTTTGGCATCAAGTTCGTTTCACAGCTAGTTTTAAACAGGTAAGGTCATGTGACAAAGTTATGCAATGATCTTAATACTCAGACCCTACAATATTTACCAGTGTAATCATGCAGAAAAGCTTTTAAAGATTGTGAATTTTATTAAAAAAAAGAAACAGCTTAATTTCTCATCAAGATACATCAGGGTAAGTCTGCATGTACTTGCCGATATGACACAAAACTGTACAACATACAAGAGTCAAACAAAACAGATCAAGTTTTGTGTAAGAAAGAACAGTTTCCCTTACATATACAATATCGTTTTCCTGCGAAAGGACCTCATCAAAAACTGAATTGAATGCTTATGACAAATTTTGAAAAATAAAAGCGCTGAGAGACACCAGTCCAATTGTATCCCTAACAGGTACCACTTCTAATATCTTTGCTTGCTGAGATGTCAGTTGTTTCTTTTATTTCGAATGTACTCAAAGAGAGACGACTATCAAAACTTAAAATTGAAATCCCTAAGCAATACTAAAATACAATTTTCAGCTCCTAAAAAGTAGAGTGAGCATTGGCAAGTTCCCATACTAAGTGTGTTGTTTATGAATCTACTTACAAATATACTCATCCTCTTCCAGTTCTATTCTCTTGTTGATGCAATTTGTAGTAAATCTTAGTTTCTGAAAATACATTAATTTTACAGAGCAATAATGTGCATCATATACACATACAGTATTACACGTTCCATTAATAAATTTGCTGCCTTTGTTGAGAAAACTAGACACCCCATTTGTAACTTTGAGTCATTTTCCTCCCTTCTCAAAACCACCACTCCAAATTCTAATTCAACAACGGTGCAGGAACACATCTGACAAGTCCATGAGAGCTCCTCTGGTTTTCATGGGCCGATGAAAATCACATTACATTTTCCATAGTTTAGAAAAATTGTCTTTGTTTATGTCCATCTGAACTGCAGCAGTTCTTACCTCCAAAGGAATTGAAAATTCCTGAATTCTTGGTTCACATCTGGGTATACCAGCAGCAGCAGCATCAGAGGGTACAATCGGTTCTTCAAAGCCCTTAACAGAGAAATCATGAGAACATCCATTTACAGCAATTGAAAAAAATAAACAAATAATCAACAGTTCCGAAACCTGTCCTTAAAAACATGAAACCAGTTGTGATGTGCCAAGTTGTTCAAAGTAGCCCCAATGAACAAAACAGTGGGAGGGAGGGTTGTGCACAAGAGCCCTTTCCCAGCTGTATCAGTGTATACTACTGTAAACTTTGTGTAGTAGCAATGGTTTTATTAGGGTAGGGGAACGTGGAGGCCTTTTCTATCAATATCAACCACCAGTATTTCTCTGAAGCAGTACATGTGTATATCAGCATTCACGTACAAAAAACATGGCAGAAGACTGTCAGGCTAATTGAATAAACAAGATGCGACAACAAATGTCACCGGCTCCAGGTAGACCAGAAAGGGCTAAACTTCCAAAAAACAGTGAAGTACGAGCATGAGGAATGAAAGCATTCCTTCCTGCCATTTTTGTGGCAGACAATGAGACCCAGGCTAAAGTTTTTGCTTGCATGTAACATCTGCTAAGCTTTGTTTTGAGAAATGTGCAGTCACAAATTGGCAAGTCATTTTGTTTAAATGACTAATAATTTGCACGGAAGTGAGAATGTTGACTAATAATTTGCACAGAAGTGAAAATGTTCTAGTGATAGTGTTTCAAGTGAAAATTTACCCACCAGTTTACCAAACATTTTTGTAAACTAAGAGATGAATTAATCTCATTTATTGCAACCCAGATAATCATTTAGAGAGAATCAAGTACATCCTTGAGGAGTGATCTAGATATGGCAAAGTTTAACAAAGTTAGGTTGGATGTTACCTCACAAGGGAAAGCATCAACAACTTTTCCCTCCTCATAAGAGGCAATGTCAATAACTCCTTCTTCTTCATTGTTGACTTCAGCTTTGACATCAGAAGTTGTGTTAGACCCCTAAGAATAAAATAAATTTGTGTTTAGTACCTTCTTGTTGCTTAATAAGTAATTGTATTCTGACCATTTGCCACAAGCATCACAGGGACAAAGAAACAATTATTATGGAAGACCAGCTAGTTACATGTAGAATTATACCCTGTACACCCCTCTCTCTCTCACACACACACACACAGTGAACAAACCAAGCCAGTGAATCTGTTTGGGCATCTTTCATGGAGAAATGAGAGGCCCATTTGGGCTTGAGGAAAGCCCCCAGGGCAGGAGAGAGGGTAAACAAAAAACTGAAACAATCAAATGAACAAGATGAAGTGGTTATATTACAACTGATTTGGACTAGATTTCGACTAGTGTCCCTGCGTTCCTTCAACCATTCTTCTTGGGTACAGTGTGACCCACGGTCGCTCAGAGCCAAAGATTTTGTTCGACCCTGAACCTGTGGGTTCCACCAGATTTTCGCCTCTTTGGCTTCTTCAAATATGAAAATGGGCAAGGAGTTTTCTTGCATTTTCGTCCTGACATAAAGAAAATTTGAAAAGAATGAAAGCTAACTTGCGATGAAACAACCAGATTGAGAACAGCTCACGTGCACAAATGAAATATCACACTGCAATTCGCATTACACGTGACAACTGGCAGTGAACAGACTTAATCATGGTTCTTGACGCCATCTTGATGGCTAGGCAAAGCGGTTAGAAGTTACAGTGTTTGTATGGGAATTCGATGGCAAATAACTTTTTGTAAAATGGAATTTTACACAATTTGTGAATGGCAATGTTAAACTAATAGGTGGAAGATTGTATTCACCAAGTTTGAAGGATGTAGCTTGGCTAGAAGATGCTCAGTTCATTTCTCTTATTTTCCATACATCTGTCTGTAAAATTTGGCTGGGTAGGCAGACATGTAGAGGGGGTATGCAAGAAAAAAATTACAGACAAATGTTACCTCACATGAGACAACATCAACTTCTTCTTCCTCACAAGAGACAATGTCAATAACTCCTTCCTCTTCACTGTTGACTTCAGCCCTGACATCAAAACTTGCATAAGAGTCCTGACAATAGAATGAATTTGTGTTGCTTAGTAAATTACTGTATTTTGAACACACTGATGGCCTGATTTCAAGTCTATGATCTTCCAAAAACTGGTTGGATGCTCTCAACTGCTGACCTACAGGAGACTTGTGTTGAGCTGCTAGGCCATTTACAAGGTTCATATACAGGATTCTTGTTAAGTTTTCATTCAGGCAGTTAGAAAGAAGAAATAGCAGGTAACATTGTTACCTGCCCCACCTGCCGGGGGTGTGGGGACTCTGCCCCAGTGGGGGTCTCCTGGGTTTTCAGTGCATCCAAGGATCTTTCCACATGTCTCAAGGCACTCTTTTTCATATAATGTTAAAGGAAGTATTAACCATTTTTATACCAAGCTGGCAGAGGCCGTTTTCGAGACATGACAAGATGGATTACTTCAACACATCCTTTATTTTCAATGCAATGATGTCTTCTAGATTTCTCAACTTAGGGTTAGTGACTAGAAGGAGTGACTAGAAGGAGAACAGCAAGATTTTCCAAAACCTTCAACACAATGGGTATTCACTTTTGAACAAACAAGCATCCATCATAAATTTGATAAATACTCCAGTGAAATAGGTAGTAACTTTTACTCAAACAGCTGGTAAAATGAACTGGTTACAGACTCTTAACAAGAACCCTGATGCGTGATATACATTGTTACATACATCCAGCATACTACAAGGAACAGTAACAGCCAGTGAGAAAAGTGTGATGATATATACAAAGCAGGGCTCCAAACGAACTCCAGCTTGCCCTTTGGACCGGTAGCTGTCAAATTTTGCTTGCCTTGGGTGAGGCTTAGTTTGCTCTTTATTGATTTAGTTGACCAATGACATACCTGAGCCCTTGCCCATTGGGCAAATGAGAATCTAAAGTTACTTGCCCCAGACGACAGGATGGCACTTATTTTGTGCCTCGCAAAGGTGGTAAATCTTTCGCTTATTCATACTTACTGTAATAGCCGTGAGCTATGATGTTGAGAACAAGAGGCGATATATACATATCTTATTAGATGTTTTGGTGTGTAGTATCGCTGTATATTTTTACGAGTTGTGCCGTATTTTGACGGGCCCATAGGGCTCGTCAAAATACAAACAACAAGTAAAAACATACAGTGATACATGCATGTGCTGCATGGAGCTTTGTCAAGATTTCCTTCTGTAGTACAGTGGGGATAATGATGCGGTGGCTTTTCATGGCCGTACCATCTTCTACAGCAAGTTCATTGCAAAAGGGCTAATAAGGTTTTAAGGGCACTGGGACTTGCTGGATGGTTGACGGCCAACCAGAGTGGATCAGTTCCTTAAGTGCGTTGAGCTCTGGGTCCGACGCGGTTTGTCCTCTAATTCTCTGCAGAATGCTGTTACTGAATTGAGGGTGGATGTCGTGCACTTGAACATTCATCCCAGGGATGGCTTCTTTTTCTTCTGGTGATAACCTGGAGAGTGCATCCACAATTTCAATGCTTTTGCCTTGTTGGTAGCGGATGACAAGGTCATATGGTTGCAGTCTCAGTAGCATTCTCTGAAGATGCAGGGGTGCGGCTGTCAAGTGTTTTAGGTGTATATTCTCAAGGGGCTTGTGGTCAGTATTGACAGTGAAACTGTGACCAAATAGGTAAGTGTGAGACTTCTCACACCTGTACACCACAGCAAGTAGTTCTTGTTCAATGTTTGTATATCTTGTTTCCACATGAATGAGTGCTTTGCTCGCAAAAGCAACAGGCATGTGTTGTCTTGTCTGAGTGCTCTGCCTAGGCCTTTCAGCAAAGTGTCAACTTTTAACATGATCTCCTTCTTTGGATCAAAGTAGGTTAAACTAACGTCACTACTGACAGAGTCTTTGCTGTAGGCATCTTGCAGTGCTGGGCTCTAATCAAATTGGTGGCTTTCCTTTAGGAGCTCTTGAAGTGGGGCTGTTAGAGAGCTTAAATTTGGGATGAAGGGACCCATGTAGATTGCCAGACCTAAGAAGGTCTGCAGTTCTTGGCGGATAGTTGGAGCTGACATTTGTTTCAGTGTTGAGATTTTGTTTCGATCAGGCTGGAGCCCACCTTGGCTACAGACAACACCATAAAATCTGATTTTCTCCTGCTTCACATAGCATTTATCAGGGTGCAGTTTCAGGCCTGTATCTTGGCATTATCTTAGCATACCATGCATGCTGTGGTCATGTTCCTCACTAGTTTGTCCAAAAACTACGATGTTGTCTGTAATTCCTGCCACTACTCCACAGCCCTCAAATGTTTGGTCAATTTTGGGCTGAAAGATGTCTTATGATATTTTCAGCCCAAAGTGCATGCGGTTGAATCTGTATCTGCAGAGTCTCAACCTCCCATTTTGTTTCTGTCAGTAGACTAGACTGTTAACCCAGGGTGGGGGTTCACCTTCCTTAAGTTTTGTGATGCAATTCTTGGCAATATCATCTAATTCACTTTTGATGTCATGCACGATGGAGGGTGAATCACTGGTGGAATATTGGGGTCGACTGCGATGTGGTATTCTCCTTGAAACTTCCTGACAATATTAAAACACTCAGGGTATTGTGTAATCAGATCCTGCTTGTCTCTTATCAGGATGGTTTCCTTGGCTTGCTCAGGAGTCTTGTCCTTTAGGCATCCATTAATGCTGGTTGGGGATGTTGTGTCTGTATAGCAAAATTGAACTGTAGCAGATTCAGGTCAGTGGAGGTTGGCAGGCCAATGATTGTGGGACCTGGTATGTCAGTGATGCAAAAGGGTGCGAGTGTGCTCTCTTTCCCATAGTTGTAGGGTATAGTGACTTTGCCACTTGCGAGCCTCCGTAGACAGTGGGCACAACATTCAAGGACAACTATGCATTGGGTTTGAGTTTATCATTGTTGTTTACTTGATCTGGGTACATCTCACAGTAAAGCCTCATGGGTAGTATGTTGCACTGGGCACCAATGTCAAGCTTGGCTCTCAGTGTGGTCTTCCTGTTATTGCTCTGCGCCAGGTTTACTTGAATGGATACAAATACTTCATCTCGACTAGACTCTGGTGTCCCATGTGTTAAATTTGCTACAGTGCCTGATTAAAAAACAATAGATTCGAAGGATGTCTGAGCTGCAGAATCTTCCCAATCTTTGATGACGTGAATCCATTGTCTGACGCGTTGAGGGTGACCACAGTTCCCACAATCCCCTGGGAGGCTTGAAAGATGGAGATGGCTGATTTGGTGGAGGGTGTGCTAAGTATATGGACCCATCTGCAGTTTCAGCTGCCATGGCTGTGAGCTGGGCTTGAGAGGATGCATGTGACCTTGCAATCTCTAAAATTTCATCCAGCACGAGCTTGGCTCCCTTTGAGATTAACTTTTCTCTGACTTTGAGTGAGTTTGTTTTGAAAACTATTCAGTCTCTCATCATTTCTTCTGGGTCTTTGAAATCGGGATCTTGGGCTAGAATCCATAATGCCATGATGAATTTCTCTGCCATTTCTGACGAGTCTTGGACTGGACTGTGTAATTTGAACCTGGTGAAAACAGGATTTGCTTTGGGACTTACGTGACTCTCAGAACGTTCGTAGTATGTTCCTAATTTCCTATGTTCATCATCGTGTTGTGGATATCCCTTCCTTTCTGACCAACCCAGATGAGCAAATAGCTGCATTTTTCCTCTTCTGTTCTGAATTTCAGAGGTCCTGTAAACATCAGCTCGACTGCTTGAAACGCCACCAGTTTTCTTTCGGGTTGTCGCCTTTCCACTACATAACCGGGCATTTGATGATGCTTAACACCATGTTTCCGAGGTTTTTGGTTTACTTCTGACACCATGTAATAGCCACAGGCTATTATGTCAAGAACAGGAGGCGATATGTCAAGACAGGAGGTAACATAGCTTTTTATTTGCTTTAATATCTAAACAACAAGGGGAGAACTACATACAAAAGAACGCAAGGCACAATGGTTCACATGCTGTTTGCATCACCAGAAGTGCATTCGAAGTACACAGGGTTCTCCCTTGTTTTCAGTACAACAGGTAAAAGAGCATTTTAAACCGGTAAAGCAATCAANTATCCTCGCTGTGCTTACATGAAGTGTCACTACAAAATCAGCGGTCGTCTCTCAAAACCAAACGAAATCGCTGCATATTCATTTTCATTCACGTTCTGGAAGGGTTTTATTGTCAAGGATTCTCTCAAAATGTCGTCTGAAAATAGATTTCAAACACTTTTGACCTGAATGTGGAGCATTGACGAAGATGAAGTTTTCAATCACCACACGTGAATGTTGGTCAATTTAGCAACACCAGTTTTCTAAAGCCGATAGTTAGGTGGGGAGTTCATGGAACTGATTTCCCCACATTGCTTGCAAATCAAATACTTGTAACGTCTAAAATTACTTTATTTGTAACTGTTTCCATTCGTGACTTCTTGCCATTGCTGATGGAGAGAAATGAGAACAATGTTCATAGTCGCTTCATCGTGAAACTGAACGTAAACAACTACTGATGCACGTGTGAAGAAATGACATCTGCCACGATGGAATGGTGGCAGAAAGCCCGCCAAAAATTTGCGGATCTTGCCTCGAAGTTCGAAAGCCACAGATACTACTTACAAACCATAGCCTGCGCAGTTTATCTTTTAATCTGTTTATTTATTTATTCTTTTACAAGGATAATATACCGATTATGTCGGTGAAACAACTATATATTTTTTTTCTTTTACCTGTTGAATTTTCAAGAATTCCAAGGGATTTTAGGTGGTAGCGAGTGGTGCTACAGGCCATAAATTTTACCGGTTACCGCCTGAAAAGGATAACGCTGAGTACATATCATCACACTTACACAACGTAAAAATTTCATTCACCCCCTTATTTTACTACTTCAAAATTTTGATACCTTTTTCTTGACACCTTACAGTATTACAATATTTACAAACTATGAACTGAGTATTTAGCAGTTCTGTCAATATTTGTATGTACACTGTGCAATAACATAAACTGATGAGGGGTACCTCACAAGAGAGTGTGTCTCTAAGTACTTCCACTTCAGTATTCACTTGACCTTTGGCATCACACGTTGTTTTTTGATCCTGTGAATTAGAAATATAGAAAAGAAATTTGAGGACCAAGCTGGAAGGGGGGTTGGCAGTACAAATAAAGAATTCTAGAGATATACATTAGATGATATTAAATGGTGGTGCAAAGATATGGACTTAAGTTTCAAGTGGTAAAAAGAAGTATAGGAATAAAAATATTGCTTTTAACATGAGAAAATAAAATTTATATCTTCCTGCCATCAAGCAGTTTTCTTTTTACAATATAGACAAACTGACTGTTTGCACAAACACTTGTGAAAAAGTGGGAAATAATGTCATCACTGTCCTCACCACTGACGGTATAAAAGATGTGCAACTTGAGTCTCAGATGTAGTTTCACATGAATTTTAGAAATGGTGTATTTTCCAGCAAAATGCTTATTTCCATAACTTTAATAAAATATAGTACTTGTTGCATTATTATTGCACATGGCAGCTGGCACACACACTGGTGATCACCTGTTAATTTCAGCTCATCAAAATTAATGCTCTTGCATGATTAAACCAGCATAAAAGGTCAGTCAAAGGATATCAACCCTCTCTGTATGGCAATTTGTGTCTGCAAGTCCACATTGTTAAAACTTCGTGATCTTCTGTATATTGATTTGAAAACTTTGTATCCTCTTACAGGAATTGCCCGCTGGTTATTTCATTGATTTTTATTTTTACCCATAATTGCATTTTTTAGTGTCAAACACATTATTTTGTTTTCATGTGCCTAGCAATGTCACATATCTACTTTTTTGGTCCAAATTTATAATCAGAGTTGAACAATTCACCCACATTTACAGCCAATGTGCCACCTGGCAGCTGACAAGATGTTACCTCACAAGGGACAATGTCAACATTTGTTATGTCTTCCTCTTCGCTGTTTGCTTCATGTTTGATATCAGAATTTGCCTCAGCATCCTGAAAGTTAAATAAAGAGTGGGCACTAATTTTATTTGTTGCCTGGTTTAACACAAATTCATGGTTCAATGTTTACTTAAGTTTTCTTGATATGTATTCAGCTTAACAGTAGAATGATATGAGACTGCGGCTTAAGGCACTTTGTTAAAAATACAGAACAAACTGTAACATCAACTGAAATGTCACCTCACAAAAAACCATGTCAAGACTCTTTTCATCTTCACTGTCCACTTGAGGTTCTACATCAGAACTTGTCTCAGAGTCCTGGCATTTTCACAAAAATAGCTACATAAGTATGTAAAGCTTTCTGATTCTTCATACATTACTACAGTCATACATAATATTATATTACAATAAATTAATCACCAGCCAGTTGGGAAGGGAGGAAGATTAAAAAATGGTCAAGCACACCATGCAAAGAAAGTCTAATCCAATAGTCTGGGCCAGTGATCTTTGTTTACAAGATGAGCATGAAGGAAATTAAGTCAGAAAGTAATACATCATTTTAAAAAGGCTAGTGAGAGAGTCTTTTGGACAAGTACATCATAGGTATTAAGAGCTTGCCAGAGGGGCAGGCCTGAAAATTGGTTTCCACTGCATTCTGCAAGCTTTGAATTTCTTTCACTCTGTTGGCTTTTACAAACACATCTTCTAAAAAGAGTGCTCTCAAGCTACATATATTTTCTAACTTCATACATGTAGTTCTTGTTATTATTACTACACATACATGCAGAGTTCTAATGGTAATAAAAAAAAGTTTACCTGAAATTGGGACATATGATGGTCAAAAAAAAAAAAAAATTAAAAGTTCCTCATAGCATATTAAATGAGACTTCTAATTTAGTACAGTAAACCCTACAGTTAGGCTTAAAAAGTTGCTCATCAAAGATTATCACTGCATCTCCATGGCAACTCACATTCCCAACTGTGAGGACTTTTCAAGAACACCACTGAGATCAAAGGATTATACAAGACTGTAATAAGTGAACCCATAATATATTACTAACCTCAAAGGGTACTGGCCCATGTTCTTTCTCAAACAGATATTGAAATTTTGGTAGAAGGTCTGGTTCTGTCAGTAGTTGTACTATCTGTACAGGCATCTGCAATATAGTTTAAATAAACAAAGAACTTTTGAACTTTAATTTTCTTTTCTTTACTTATGCAGAGTTACAAGGTAAAGGGTATAGGTTAGGATAGAGACAGTTAAAGACAGTAGGTTTAGAGTTTTTTGAGTTATGAAGGATATTTTCAAGCCTGGCTGGGGTTGTCTTTTTTATAAAAACACTCTACTGTCATTACCGTCTCTAACCTAACCCAAAAATTTTATAGAATACCATACCAGTCAGTGAGGCAAAACATAATACTTGTTGCAGTCTTGGTCATTATTTGTACTACTGTTTTATTTTCCTATCTTTGGATGATAATGTATGCAAAAAATAATGATACTAGCAGTAATCAAAGATTATGAGTGTGTTTGTTGCCTTCACTTAAATCATGATAAATAGCAGTGATGAAACTTAAATTGTCAATTTTTGTGTTTTTTTCCGCGATTTGCAAAAAAAAAAAATCCCCCCCAAAAATTCTCGCAAAAATTTACTCCCCTGGCGAAAGTATACAAAGAAACATCACAAGTAGAATCTTGTTGCTGCCATTTATTTAAAGTCTCTTTCCCTCAGAAACAAAACAATGAAATGACAAACAAAACGTTCAGAAATAAAAGGTTAACAGGAAAGGATCACCTAAAGGTACTCCATTGAAAAGAGCATCTACAATTCCACACAAGAACAAAATGTAACTGTGATAGAGTAGACTGTTCACAGCCTCTCTATTCACACACGCGAAAGAAAAAGCGAGCAAGGTGAGCACGAAGCAAGCAGGGGTGGGAGGTGGGGTCTGTGAGCAAAGTGAGCAAGAAGAATAGAGAGTGTAGACATCTTTGGAAAAAAAAGGACTTATTAGGCTCCTCCCCCTGTTATCGCCTTGTTACTAACAGCTCCGCCCCTTGACCATTTCATTAAATCGGACCAATACAGTCTGAGCCATAAATTGCTCGTTTAATTGATTACAAGTATCAGTTTGCAAACAACACATACGTGCATTCGGGTGTCATCTCAGATGACTTCAACTCCAAAAAAAAAGTTGCTTAAAGGGGGAGAAAGCCGAAATCAAACGGTCTTTCTGATTTTTGTAGGATAAGCGCTTGTTCTTTCACTATTCACCTTGGGAATTTTGGCAAGACAACTTACATATCTATGGATAATCTTTTTCTAAAGGTGTTACATGGTGTGGCACTCGTAAACTACAATGAGCATGACAAAATTGTTAAGTGGAGAATCTTCGTTCTAGAACACGTTTTGGAATTTTGCATCCAAAAAGTCTTCTGCTGTCTTCCAAAAACAAGCTTGTATTTCGCTTCTCCAATAAGGAGAGGCATGTCATCCTTTGTTGACAAAACGATGGAAGGAATCCAAAGCTCTTCAGTCTCTTCTACTTATGCTTTCAAGATGCTTTTGAGTGGTGAAAATATGAGAACAACATTCGCACCATTTGCATTTCTTTTGCTGTTGCGTAGAGTTGATGATATATCAGACTTTCTGCAAAGCCGGTCTGCAAAAATTGCAACATCTTTCAACCAAAGAAGACTAACAGCAGCCTCTTTCTGCTCATCTTTGAGCAAAGAAATGTTATAATTTCTCTTAACAGGATTCTATATTTTTTAAAAACAGCCCCTCCATTATGAATCACAGCACATGTCATTGATGACAACTACTGCAAGCCGTATAATGCACCTTGATGCAATCATGATCGGCCATTGTCAAGGCGATGACACTCTTGTCACCTTTCAACCAATGGGAATTTTACATTTCTGGAAAAATGGGGAATTCACTTTTTTTCCAAAGATATCTACAGCCCCTCTCCCCATCCCCTACCCAGTCAAGTCGTCAGTTTTGCGCTGGTGTCCAGTTGTCTCAGATTCAATCTACATGTTCAACGATCGAATAAAAATACAAGAAAATAGAGGGCTGTGAGCAGTCTAGTGATAGACTTCATCAAACTATGACATAGATGTCGATTCCTTTTTTCACAAACTTAGCTCGAAAGACTTGAAATCTCAATGTCAAATTCAGAACGCCTTAATGGTTTTCAAGTCTTTAAACTGTCTTGTTCTGGAATATCTCACGTCTAAATTTATAAAGCGAAATGAATCAAGCTATTCTCTGAGGGACTCGGTAAACAAACTTGTTGTCCCCTTTCCAAGAANTTTACAACTCACTAGTTCAACCTCACTTTGATTACTGCAGCCTTGTCTGGGGTAATTGTGGCAAAACATTATCTAAAAAGCTACAAAAACTACAGAACTGTGCTGCATGTGTTATAGCTTCATCAAACTATGAGGTAGATGCCGATTCCTTGTTTCACAAACTCAGCTAGAAAGACTGAAGTCTCAATTTCAAATTCTGAATGCCTTAATGGTTTTCAAGTCTTTAAACGATCTTGTTCCGGAATATCTCACGTCTAAATTTATAAAGCGAAATGAATCAAGCTATTCTCTGAGGGACTCGGTAAACAAACTTGTTGTCCCCTTTCCAAGAACTAACTACATGAAAAATAGTTCTAGTTACAGCGGCGTTACCCTTTGGAACAGCTTACCCTGTAACATTAGAGAGTCTGGTTCATTAAACAAGTTTAAACGCCTTCTTTACCATAATTTTTACACATGGCATTCGTGGAAACTAGGATTTTTCTTAAGTGGCATATTAATGTAAGTTAATATATTGTAAGGATTTGGATTTGTAGTCATTATTATGTAATCTTTTCTACCTGATGTTTTTACCATGTATAAATAATAATTAAAGATTAAAGATTTGTACTGCAAGGGTTATCAGGGGTCAAGGCAAGCAGTAATGACATGCTTAAAAAAAATTGACCCTGAGGGGTGCAATAAAAGTCAAAGGCAGAAGCTTAAGAGAAGACTTCACACTAATCCAGGACGAAACCACTGTTGGCACATTAATGGTGGAGAGATGACCGAATTGACTAGTGACATTTTTGAGCTGACTGTTGTGGGACTGTTTCGAAGTCCCAGGTGCACCGCGGCGTGGGGACTGAAAACGTGTAAAAAATTATGGAATGTGACGAGAATAAAAAAGACATGGAAGATGAAAATGTTGTCGTGTTTTTATGAGTTTTGATTCCCCGTTATTTCTACCATAGTGGTCCTTTGAGCGCCGGATCTCGGTAGAAAAGAATAGAATCAGCAGCGGATTAACAGAGGCGGATTAAAAAGGAAGCGTAGAATCAAAAAATGGCGGAGAATTCAACGAAATCGCATGTGAATGCCAATGGATCTGCTGTAGAGTGGAGCACACGTGAACGAAACCTGCCAAAACATTTAAGTGACTACACCGACGTTCCCCATCAAAACAAACTGCAAACGATAAAGAACAGAAGAAGTTTGATGAAAGCCAACCTGACGAAGAAGATAAACATCATAGAGAATTACATTGAGGGACGGAAAAAGCGTAAGTTGATTGAACTTGCACTTACTCGACTTAATAGAACATGGGATCAATTGATAGAGAACCATAAAGAATTTGAAACTTTGTAGAGTAATGACGAGGAACTGCAAAATGCTGACACATGGTTGCTAGAATCCCAAGCAGTTGTAGAAGAACTTATCTGTGGAGCTGTCGATTATCAGGAAGACAAAATAGATAGTGGGGGATCTGAGTTAAATGCCCCAATAGCAGCTGGNAATCAAGCTATTCTCTGAGGGACTCGGTAAACAAACTTGTTGTCCCCTTTCCAAGAACTAACTCCATGAAAAATAGTTTTAGTTACAGCGGCGCTTCCCTTTGGAACAGCTAACCCTGTAGCATTAGAGAGTCTGGTTCATTGGACAAATTTAATCGCCTTCTCTACTATAATTTTTAAACACGGCATTCATGGAAACCAGGATTTTTCTTAAGTGGCATATTAATGTAAGTTAATATAATGTTAGGATTTGGATTTTTAGTCATTATTATGTAATGTTTTCCACCTGAAGTTTTTACCGTGTATAAATAAAGATTAAAGATTGCAGGTTAAAGATTCTCCGGGTTCTCCACAAAAACCAGCAACTACAAATTCCAATTCGACCGGGATATAGGACCCGCATGAAAACCAGCCAAGGCTGATGTGGCTTCCTCTCTCCGTATCAACGGTTAGGAAATTACGACTTTTAAAAACATGTATGAAAAATGTCTCAAAGTTTGTGCTCTGAAGACTGCAAAGAAGATGAGCACCAGAGAGCTGTCCATCCCCTGGCCATCTCGTGACATGATCAGACCCTTGTGTTACGTCATCAGAAAGGAATTTCTGTCGTTACGAGGGGTTACAAGGGGATCATGGGAAACGAAATAGCAACCCTCGACTTGTTGGTTACCGTGAAGAAAAGTATGTCAGACAGATTGGGTCAAATACCACGAAACTTTCCGGATTTGTAACAATTTCCTTTCAATGGCAGATGTATGAATGGCTACTTCTGTACGTCCCATTGCGATATTTGTGCATCTTGAAACACGTGCTTCCTGAAACGGAAGATGCTTGGCAAGATATGTTGTTGTATCTCAGGAGGCATCGTTCACGCTATTTCAACGGCAAGCGGAAGATCAATTATTAAAAATACTGCAGTATGTCTGTTAAATGCTGATGAATAAGTACGAGGTTCTTGGAATTGTGGGCGAAGGTAAGTGGTTTTAAATATTAGCTTGTACATGTTTTTGCATGCATTGTAATGAGATTGAAATTGTTTTATGGGCATTACGTTTTTGTGTGTGTGGATTGTTTTGGTATGCAAAATGCGGGTTTAAGTGGTGCAAATTCGTGTTAAATATCTTCCTTTTTTGTATTATTAGGAGCCTATGGAGTGGTTTTGAGATGTAGGCACAAGGTAACAGAGATATTTTCTTTAATTTAAGCTTAGCAGCTTGCACATGACAAAAAAAATCAAACATATGGATCACGGCGTAAGGTTATTAAGTGGGTTGATGATTATTTTGCTGTGCATTGTTTCAGCGACTAAACACGCACGGACTCTTAGTCGCCATAAAATCGGAAATGCTTCTTATATGTTACTGAGATCATATTACCGAAGTCAATTCAATCTGAGAACTTCCCTTCAAGGTCCAGTGAAGCAGAAATTTGCAGGCTTGATAGCTATCTCGGTTGCTTGAATCGGCATTTGTTTGTACATGCATTAGTTGGTTTGTTTGTCAACAGACACTGTTACTTGAATGGTGTCTTGGTTCATGAAGTTTTTGAGGGTTGTGGGTGGAAAAATAAAGTATATAAGCTTACCTGCTGTAGATGACTAAGTTAGTTTCGCATCAAAGGAGTTTTAAAGTAATGTAAACTTGATTTAGGAAAATTACCATATATTTGTCAGAAGAGACTTGATAAGTTTCCTGTTGGTTTTTTGTACCCTGAAGCTTAAAAATCCAAGCTAAGAAGCTTTGTCAGATAACTCGGAGAGACAATGATTTTTATCTACGTGAAAATTGTCTGCATTATGTTGTCAAAATTTTGAAACTTTATGTTTTATTTGCCACAGGAGACAAATGAAATTGTAGCCATCAAAAAATTCAAAGACAGTGAAGGTAAGAAATATGGCCTGTCAGTCAAAAGAAGCATGTCTTGTACGTAGGGCTCGTGAGAGGTAAATGGCAAAAGGCTCTCCTGTTTAAGAACTGGGATGATGTGTGCCAGAAAATTATAATCAAGTGTGGCTCAAGCTTTTATTGACCCCTAAAAGATATCTCTCAAGAACAGAAAGACAAATAAAAGCTACAGTGGGTTTAAACGGCGATAAGGATGTTGGAAAAAAATAATGCTTTTGTCTATTAAAAGATTGAAGATTTCATGTCATTCTACACCACTGATACACTATGATGGTATTTTTATGTTTCTTTACATGCAATCCTGAAAGAAGTCTTGATGCCAAATATTAGCCTCCCATCTGAAACACTCTATCTGATACCAGAACCAGCATTTTACACCCCATTAAGAGCTAATCTCTGCCCCTTTCATGTGGGAGTTTTCCCTGGAGGGGAAGGGGGGGCACTGCCATATATGGGCTACATAGGTATGTANGGGGGGGGGGGGCACTCTCATATATGGGCTACATAGGTATGTACCGCTGTGAAGGGTATGGTTTTCAGGCAGTTTACTCTAGGATAGGGTATATAAATCAGAGCATTTGGGTCTAGAATAGGGTAGAATTTTTCTTAAGACTGACTAGTTGGTTGAAGATTTTATTTAGACTAAGGAAACCAGGAATTGCCACTCAGAAATATAAAAAAATCAAATCGGCAAGTTTAAATTTACGCAAATCAGCCTCAACAGTGTCAAAAGATGGGGGGATTTGGGGAGTTTACTCTAGTGTAGGGTAGCAAAATTCAGCTGAACTAGCTCTGGTATAGGCTAAGGGTTCCAGGGTCCCAGCGGCACATCCCCACCCAGAAATTCCCAAAGTACCCCCCCCCCAGGGAGTTTCCCCTCCCCCTGAAGATGAGGGTTTATGTTAGCAGTGACAGTCTGCAGTCCGCAGTCTGCATTTTACCCCTAGTCTTCCTTTTACCCCAAGTCTGGAGTCTGCAGTCGGCAGTCTTCCTTTTACCCTTAGTCTGTATTTTACCCCGAGTCTGCAGTCTGCAGTCCGCAGTCTGTGTTTTACAGTACACTGACTGCTTTTTCGAGTGGTGCGCAATGGTATACCTTACATCACTGTGATTTTTGGTTGATGCCATGCCATGAGCCAATTCAGTATTGGTTTTAATAGGCCCTGTTTGGCTTGAAACTCTCATGCATTCTTGATTAATCTGGGGTTCTAATGTGCATTTCTACTATATTTGAGTCTGCTCCAAGATTTCTTAAGAGTTTTTGAGAGGTCTCTCTCATTTGGCCCATAGTTTGTATTGTGTGATCGTCCGGGTGAGGGACGACAACCTGAGCAGAAGTCATCTTCAGAGTCAAGTGAATACGGTTTGTCAGTTGATATTCACTTGACTCTGAAGATGACTTCTGCTCAGGTTGTCAATTGAAACATCAGTCACCAACAACAGTTCTTTTCAGAACTACCCTCACCCGGACGATCACAAAAGACAAACTACTGATACTGCCAGGTTCAAACCATTAACTATGTTACATTTGGCCTATGTTCACTGAAAAATGAAGGAATCTTTTACATGCAACTTTCATCCTTTAAATTTCAGTGATGTTTGTTCCTGTTTTGATATTGATTTCTGTTGAGCTTAAAACTTCTTGAATGTTGTATTATTTTGTTACAAACATGCATGACAGCAACTTGCATGTAGTTTGTGTACGCAATATTTTGTGGTTTACTTTAAGAGCAGAGGGCAAATAGCGCTGTTTTTGGAGCTTAGAAATGTATTCAAAGGCAATCAGCTACTTTCTTTGTTTTAGATTTTAGCAATTTGTATTGCTTATATAATGAAAAATTAATCTTATTGAAGCCTGCTTTGTTTATGTTGACACCTTCCTCCATTTAATTAAAAGGTTTTATATGAGCCATTATTGAAATGGTTTTTCATCATGAATGGATGCTAAATTCAACATTTGTGGTGATGTGTGTTATTTATTTTTTTATAACATAATTATGTGTTTTCAACGCTTGCAAAACTTGTATATATATATTTGTAATCTTGAAACCATCTCCAAAGGAAAGGATTTTCTTATGTAGTACGTAACATAGACTATACGCTTCAGTTTTTCATCTAGTTTAATTAATTTCTCGGAGAAGAGCCTAAAATGTCAGTGGTTAACTACACTGTATTTAATTACATCAAGAACTGACCATAGCTAATCAAGTCAGAATAAGTTCATTAATCAGTACATTGCCTAAGTAAATAGAGAAAAAAGTTGTACCTTTGTTTCTTATTTGGAGGACACTCTACTTGAGAAACACTCATGTCTTTAAGTCAGAGTAGAGCTCAATTGTTTTAATTTGTTTGGTGTGAGACACAATATTTTATGAAAGAAATTAATTTTTTGCTATCGTAAATGAGGGGCAAGTCTAATATGCTTTGTTTCAGTTAAACAACAAAATATCTTGAGAAATGTCTAAATTGTGACTTTAAAAACTTACTGGAAATCCAAAAATAATTTATCACAGGATGCTTGAAACAACAGTGGGGAAATTGTATCCAATTTGGCATGAGATAAAAATATTAATGGTACATAAGCTACAGTTTCCATTTTTTACATGTACAATTCTGTAATTTTATAAATTTGTACATTATATTTTTGATTGATTGTCATATTTCCACAGAAAATGAGGATGTGAAAAGAACCACATTGAGGGAGTTGAAAGTCCTTCGCATGTTGAAACAAGAGAATATTGTTGAGTTGAGGTTAGTCAACAGTTGTAAAAGTTTAGGTTTAACATTTATTGTGCTAAGTGGTACTGCATATTAATGCTGGTAGGTATAGTCTGCATATGAGCCAAGTGGCCCATCAGTTTGGTGCTTATCTTGGTTTCTATAGCATGAACTGACTAGGAGTATTTCTACTCCATCCCTGGGTGAGATGCTAGTCCATCGCAGGGTTATTCCCAGCATTAAGGTCGCTGGTACCCATTTATACACCTTAGTGGAGAGAGTCACTGTGAGAGTAAAGTGTCTTGCCCAAGAACACAACACAATGTCCCTGACCAGGTCTCAAACCTGGACCGCTCAATCCAGAGACGAGTGCTCTAACCATGAGGCCACCGCACCTCAAAGCTGGCAGTACATTATAGAATGTTGAGAAAGTCAGTATTGTTGGCTAATATATTGAATACCTTTTTCTTAGGGAAGCATTTCGCAGAAGGGGAAAGCTATATTTGGTTTTTGAATATGTTGAAAGAGTAAGTAAACTCGTGTGAGATTGTACATCCATTATTGTTTTAACATTATGATTAAATATTATTAATAAATTCCTTGATATGCACATTTTTCTGCAGAATATGCTTGAGTTACTTGAAGAAATGCCAAATGGAGTTCCATCAAACAAAGTTAGGTTAGTTTTTCAGAGAGAGCAACCTTAGAAGACAGCCAAATGTATGAAAGAATGTTCAATATACATGTACTAAGAATTTGACCATTCACTTATAATGACTACTATTTTTTTGCTACCATGTACTACTTAAACAATAAAGTAAATTAAAATAATTTAGTTTTACTTTTTGTTGGATCACTAAATACTGTTATAATAAATAATTAGCATCATGCATGTTAAAACACATTTGTCTATATATGTTGGTCACTGACACTTTTTGTTAACTTAACTTTCCTTCCAGAAACTACATTTTCCAGCTCATCAAAGCCATTAAATGGTGTCATCAGAATGATGTCATTCACAGAGGTGCAGTATTTCTTTAGTTTGTTTGAATGAAAAGTTAACACTGGCTGGTGAATCCTCTATGGCCGATAAATTTATCAATCAACAGTGCACCATGCAAATTGAAATTTTCAGAATAATTCTTTACCTTTACTGAGTGGCAGATAACAAATATCATTGGATGGAAATGAACATTTTGTAATTTGCAATGTTCATGTTTTATTTTTTTAACAATCTGTACCCTGTTTACATGAAAATGATGATTACTAATACTCTGATAAGTAAATAAAATTTTTTGTGTGCAAGTGATATAAGTAGCCTGTTCAATCATTGGAGTGCACTGCTGTGAAATGTTTTGAAATTACACATCACTTGGATTTTGAGTTTTTCTGGTCATTTGGGTCAATCATCTCGCATGGACACCTTCCTCTGTAACCATTGCTTCTTTTCTCTGCCGACAGACATTAAACCAGAAAATTTGCTCATTAGTAAGGATGGGGTTCTTAAACTTTGTGACTTTGGTAAGGTTAAAAGCGTTAAAGACGTTTCATGTTTTCTCATGTAAACTGTATCATGCAATGCTCTTGTTTAGTTTTGGCCAACTGGGTGAGAAAAAAAAAATCAAATAGAGTTGAGCAGAGCTAGACAAGTGTTTTCTGTGGGGTTGGGGGTGNGGGGGGGGGGACGCTCAGCCTGCTTCAATTGCCAAGTATTTTTTTCATCCCTGCTGAGAGCCTGTTCACTGGCTAGTTTAGTTTAAAAATGTTGCTTAGGTGTGAATTTTCAGTGAAACTTACATGTTACAAAATAGTTTAGCTAACCTGCAATTAACTGCATGATCCATCTAGCAGGAATAGTTTAATTTATATATAATAAATACTCCTTGCTTGCAAGTATCTTAAAGCTGGAGTTAAGCTTAGCTTTGCTTAGCCAGGTGGCACATAGGCATCAACGATCTGTTTCCAACATTACTGGTCCTTTGCAGCATGTTGTGCGTCACCCCATGTCCATGTCAAGCCCATCTCTTTTAGCTCGGCCATCACAGTACATCTCCAAGTTGTTCTGGTCATAAAGTTTATTTAAATTATGCTCAGTTTTGTTTCACCATTGTAATCAGGATCTGATCTTTCTGGGGAAATAAATGAACAGGTGAAAAAAATTCAAAGTATGCTGTCATTTACACTGTTGCCTCCGACAAAATCACTTGTGTTTGCCAGAAATGTTCTGGAATGCACCTGGATGCACACAGATTTTTCAATTTTTTTCAGGAGCAGCAACCCACTCACCCCCCCCTGCCCCACCCCCACCATCCCCAACATGCAGGAGAAGGTAACCAACTCCAGCACTCCTCCACACCTGACCACCTTGATCCTGAGCAAGTAGTGCTCTGCCTACTTTACAATTTCCTCCTACTACTTTATGTCAATTTGAAAACTCTGCCTCTCCTGGGTGGTGTCCATCTAAGCGCAGTCTTGGGGATGTGGTCCTGGTCCATTCTAAGGACATGCCCAAGTCAATGGATCGGGTTGCATTGAAAAGCGGGAGTCAAACATGTATGTTGTATAGGAAGCTGACGTCACTGTAATTACGTTTATGTTGTTGGTGAAAAGACATGTATGGTTTGATCTTCACAGGCTTTGCCAGAGCCATGACTGTTAATGGTAGTGGCCAGTTTACAGATTATGTAGCCACTCGGTGGTACAGATCTCCTGAACTACTTTTAGGGTAAGGCTTAAGATGGTCTAAAAGCTTCTCATTATGTGGACATTGAGATGAATTTCATTTCTTGCCTAATTAACTGACCAACTGATTTTCTATCAGGGCTTCCTATGGTAAACCAGTTGACATCTGGGCTATTGGCTGTATACTGGGGGAACTCAGTGATGGTCAGGTTAGTAAAAGCAGGGCAAATATCGTCAGTCTAAATTTACTATTTTCCCAAGCTTGCTAGTGGAGGGCTGCATCAGTCCATGGAGATTTGTATGGCTCTGTGCATTGCCCAACTACAGTTTAAGTAAGGTGTGTGTACTATGGCCTAAGTCAAATAACGTTTGTGCGGTGCAACCCACCTCAGTCAATATGAGCCTTGTCCGCATTCCAGCTAGCATTGGCACTGAGTTGATGTCATCGTGCTGCTGTTCATATGCACTGAAGTAGAATGCAAGAAAGGTCTTCTAGCTATGTATTTTTATCATTGTTTGAATTGTTTTTAGATTGATTTTGTTGGAAAGTTGTGGAAAAGTCTAAGTTCGAGAACATAAAACAGATGCTGAATTTCACAACTATACAGAATACAGAGTCACTATTTAACACGAGCATCTCAACATATCTAGTGGTCTTGCCATGCGTATCATCTGCCTTAAGTGTTTCCTGTAAAACTGCATAATTATGTACCAATTTACTGGGTGATTTCCAACCATTTGTTTCTCTCTGTTTGATAGCCGGTATTTCCTGGAGAGAGTGAGATAGATCAATTGTTTACAATACAAAAGGTCAGTAAATCATGATGTTAAATTCACTGTCACTGATTGGAAGTTTTGTTGATTATCCTAACATGTACTTACAGTGTACTTACAACTTACTTTAACCTAATTATGATTTAGGTTCTCGGTCATCTGCCACCAGATCAAATGGAGATGTTTTATACCAATCCGAGATTTAAAGGACTCAAGGTCAGCAATATGATTATGAATAACCTTTGCAGGCTTTCATTAGTAAACGACAGTAATTTGATCAGGCAACTTCAATTAACACTTCTACGATATCCATCTTTGCATAATTTTATGTTGAGAACACTGCAGCCAGTGTACATTTCTTACTGATTATTTTTTATCGATCGTAAGACATTTTAACCATTGAGTTTAGAGCTGTGATTATAAACTTTTGAAGTCTTTGGCAATAACTGGCAAACTTCTACATTCTCAATATTCAAGCACTTGTTCCTGTTCAATAAATTTAACAAAGATATTGTCAGTGAGTTGCGTTGCTATTTGCAGTTTCCAACCACAATTAACCCTCAGACGTTAGGAAGGAAGTACGCAGGAGTCATTAATGGAATCATGCTTAGTTTTATGCAGGTAAGGTTTTAGTGCCATTGAATCTATGTTTTGGTTGAGCCATCTGTAGTTTATTAGAACAACTAGATTAGAAAAGTCTGCATACAAGCCAGGTGGCCCATCAGGCGGTGCTTATCTCAGTTTCAGTAGCGTGAAACGACCAGGAGTATTTCTACTCCCCCCTGGATAGAATGCTAGTCTATCTTGGAATTACCCCCCAGCATAAAGTTTGCCAGTCCTCATTTTACTCACCTGGGCAGAGAGAGGTACTGTGAGAGTTAGGTGTCTTGCTCAAGAACACAACACCACAATGTAACCTTGCCAGGGCTCGAACCTGGACCCTTGATCTGGAGGTAAGTGCACTAACCATGAGGTTACCATGTCTCCACCAACTAGATTATAATGTAGATTAATTTTGAGTCTTTGATTTGCAGGCAACATTACAACTAGACCCAAAGGACAGATTTACAATAAATGATGCTTACAATCATCCAGCTTTCCAGCAAGAAAGAGAAGAATATGAAAAAACCTTGAAAGACAAGGGAGGAGATCTGAAACCGGTTTCAAAGAAGACTGAAATTTCTCTCAAATCAAGGCATTTTGCTCACAAGGGAGCTTCATCTCAGGGCATTAGACCTGCAGAGAGTTCACAAGACTTGAAAACACAAGATGTTAAACCAAATATGCATGGAAGTGTGCCACTTGGCAAAGAATTTAGTGCTGAGAAGAAACTTGTCATGCAACAAATGGCTGCTAAAGAAAAGCCAAATGAAGTTAGCTCGCAGGACGTGGCTTCAGACAAAAGTAGAACTAAAGAAAATGAAAGTTCAGAAAAGTCTGAGAGTTTTTCACCAGCGTCAAATGCAGAAATGGTGAAAGGATCAGGAAATCCCTCTTCAACAGCGAAACAAGCTGTTTACAGCTCTGTGGAAATCAAACCTCGCAATTCTAACTTGGTAGCAGCAAATATCAATGCATCAAGAACAACTTCTCAACCAGAGGAAAGAACTAATGTTACTCAAAGTGATAAGGGTAATGTCATTGATGAAGACAGCAAAGCAAAGAATAAGCCAAGTTTGGCTTCCCACACCAGCCATCTAGTGGCTGCTAATTACAGCTTTTTTCCTGTGGATAATGAGGAATCGGAGCTTGAACAACCAAAGAATGCAAAGGTAAATAAGGACAAAAGTAAATACAGTCAAATCTCCAATAAGCGATCACCCAAACTGTCAAGCTGAAGGTGGTCACTTACGAGAGCTTAGACCATATTGAGTCAAAATTTTGCCTCATTAGGTAACTGCAGAGACTTACCCTATGTTTTAAATGTTTTATTCATGTGAAAAGTCGATTTTGAGAAAAAAATGCAGTGCTTCCCATTGAGAAATTTCCATCTCTTGTACTACCCAGGAATGCGATGATGTTACAACACCTTATTATCCAATTTATGCTCTGTTATCTGTCAAGGGGTTGCTTACAGGAGGTTAAAAACAAAAGAAAATGTCAAACTTTTAGCTTGCTTATGAGAGGTGGTTGCTTACAAGAGGTTCAAAATATAGTGATATGACTTGGGAACTTTTGGTATTTTGGAAAACTGGTCACTGAGGAGAGGTGGTCGCAACCGGAGGTTCGACTGTTTTCAGTTTTCCTGGTTGTTCAACCAGCTGAAACCAGAATGTACTAGCTTGACAGTAATAATATTTTTTTTGAGGGGCCCATGAAAATCACTGTCAAGTTAGTACATCCTAGATCAAATTGTTTTATATGTCAACGATATTTTTAATTACTTAAATTATTTTGTACTTCTGCAATTTTAATTTTCTCAAATTTTACCTAAAAGAACATTGGTTGGTGAAAGAGATAACCTACTAGCCTGACTTCAAAATCCACTGTCACACTTATGAAGTGTTTCTGCTGCTTTGTTTCCTTTTCTTGGTTTGGTGGTTTGACAAGGGAGTGATCAAATTCAGTTTCCACAGTAAAATGAGTTGTAAAATTACTGTCAAAAAATTATTGTATCGTATTGTATGGTAAGATGCTAGGAGTACTACTATTCCTGGACAGGATGGTAGGCCCTCACAGGTCCCCCCTCCCCCCCCCCCCCCCCCCCCCCCATGTCCCTCTCGTACTGGCCGCGTATTTCTCTCGAGTTGTGACAACTGTGAAAGTTTGAGAGGACTCGAGAAAGCTGTGGAAAAATATACTCGCTACTTGCGGCGAGGGTGTTCCTACAGCATTGCTCGTTCTTCCAAACGTCCATTCGAGTTTTCGTAAATTGACCTGACCATGGAAAACGTTTTGCTATTCCTTAAATGTACCGAGGTTTTGCGCACCCAACCTTAACACGCAATCCGCGTTTAGTGAACGCTGTCCCCGGGGGCCCTATCTGAGTGAAAATGAAAGCGACTCTGGAAGTGGTATATGTTGGTGTAAGGCCCTGTTAGGCTCGAGTTTATGACCTGAGAAAGATGTAATTGAAACTTTATTCCTGATTCTTCATGGTTTCATCATTAAAGTACAGTTGCTTATCTTTGAATATATATCTAATTTAAACATTCTACAATCATCACATCTCATCATGACAGTTTTCATCATTCTCTTATCACAAGCCATTTTGGTGTGTCACGCAAGTGTCACGCATTCGGTGGTGCCTCTCGACCTCTCACGTGATTAAAGCTTGTGAGTAGCAGCTCCAACTAGCCAGGCCGGAACATAAACAAACTCAGGCACCATCCACGCCATGGAAGGGTACGTCCTCTGAAGGTGAAACTTGACTTGGCGAATGGATAATGGCTGAACTCCTAAAAGGAACAAAAGAACCTGGACCATTTACATGTCATTCCAGTTATGTTTTAGACAAGCGTAGGTGGGTGGGGCTTTGAAAATCGGAAAAAAATTCAAATTATCGCCAATACTCTGCTGCTCGAGGCATAAAAATAATTCGACATGCACTGGCCTCTTCCTAACTTTGTCACGTGACATGTTAGTAGCAAAAAACAAAAACCCAACCGTACTGGCTGTAGAGTCAATAGCATAACAGAAACCAGAAGAACATACAGAAATTTTTGATAATGCCAATTTTGAAACCAGTGATGTTTAAGCACCAGATTTTATTCATAGTAATTGGAAACAAACTTGTTATCCATGAGTGCTCTTTTTGCAGATAAATGTTCAATTTTTGACAATATCACACCAGCATAAAAATTTTCATTAAGACATCAAGTCTCAAAATTGAATGCCATTAGTGGTATCTATCAGTCACTCCACGTCTGTTTTTGATTTTTTTGTCATTGGCAAAGTCACGCAATGGGGTTAGGAAAAGAATTCCCTGTATGGTAGTATATTAGTACCTATATGGTAGTATATCAGTATATCTGGGCTATTGATCAACCCTGAGGTAAAGATGTTTGGATATTGGTCAAGTTCTTTTTTTGGCGTGTTTATGGACTGGGACACAGTCGAGGTCCATGAAGACGCCAGCAAAGTAACTTTGCGAATATCCAGCCATATTGACCGAAAAACCATAGTCAATAACGGATTTATTACATGGAAAGAACACTATGTTCTTGTAGGACGCAGCAGTTAATCCAGAGCTAGTAACCCCATCTTGCTGGCTCGGACAGCCAATTACATCCCAGGGTTTGCTTCTTTTTGCCTGCTCACAGAGCTAGCCATACTGTTTTTGGGCCATGAGTATTTTGAATTGTCTGCATCTCACCAAAATAAGAATCATGGCTTGTTCAAACTCGCTGGAATTGACACTGAATATACCAACACACCTCCAACATCTTTGAAGCCATATTCTCTCGCCAACTCAGCCACGATCAAAATACGACCGCTCTTCTTCATGATGTTGGGATCTAATGGATAAAAAAACTATAATTACTACCAGAAAAAAACTATAATTACTGCCACACATCTGATCAACACAAAGTCGGGTTGCTGTCCTGTTAATATGTAGCAGCCTTTGTCTGTCTATCTGTATGTCTGTTTGTTTGTTTATCCGTCCATGTGTCTATCTATCTCTCTCTCAGTCAGAGAGTCAGTAAGTTGATAAGTCAGTGAGTCAGTGAGCCAGTCTGTCAGTGAGTCAGTGAGTCAGTGAGTCAGTCAGTCAAAAAGTCAGACAGTCAGTCAGTCAGTCAATCAGTCAGTCACTCAGACAGTCATTCAGTCAGTCAGTTAGTCAGTCTGTCACAGTCCATTTATTTACATTAAAGGAGCTCAGTCATGGTTTGTGCATATTGAAAAGTTAAGCCTCAATTTTTCAAATTTGTCGTTTGTAATCCGTGTTAATTCTCTCCATCCTTAGCCATTCTTGTTCCTTTATGGTTTATCATTATCTCTTTGGTGTTTTTCTATCTTATTAAACTGTTATTTTCAAATCTCCTACCATTTAAAGGTAATCAAATGCCGTGACTGAGCCCCTTTAAAAACACTGACAAGGAATTTCAACAGAAAATGAAAAAGTGTACCTGCTGCAAGCCAAGCAACAGCTTTGCCGGAATAAGTTACATCTTCAGCATCCTTGAAAATACCAGCTGCTTTGCTTTGCTAAATTATGCAAATAAAACAAAGAGGAAATAATAACTTGATAATAACTTTTTGTTCACTTCCATTCATGATCGAATATGCATGCTGGTTGATAAGTGTTTTCACTGTTAAATCACTCAGCTCAGGTCAAAGCAAGTTGGTCTTGTTTAAATTGACCAAGAGTGCTCCTAATCTGAACACAATCGCTGAGTGAAATGTCTTTTCATTTCATATCAAAGATTACCTTTTCGCCCTCAGCAGCCTTGTCAAGCACCAATTCTTGGATCAGTTCAGTCCTTACAGGCCCAGGCCACAGTGAAACACATGTCACATTCTGCTTCCGTAGTTCAACAGCCATATCTGCGGCCATTCTGTCATTCTGAGTGAAAGGATTAAATTTCAGAAACTTTCTTTATGTAAATGCCTCTTATTTAATTTCCCTTTTTACTCAGCTCTAATTGTGTTGATCTTTTTAAGAAAGGCCACAACCCATTAGCTCGTACTGCTATCACAACCACATGTGGCTGCACTGCTCTAACAAATTAAACTAAATATGCAATTTACATAGCATCGTCCCCTCAAACATTTCTCTGTACTTCTCATCAAGCACCCTTATAAGTTATCCAAGCTATTATTTTTTTGAGCCAAGTTCTTCTTTGCTAAAAAAACACAAACCAATCAAAAAACAACTTTTCCACAAAAAACATTTTAAAAAATAAAATTAATTGATCAGTTACAAAATTCCTACAGCTCCATCATCAAAAAACTAAAAAGGAGCTGACATTAAGACTACATAATTATACAATTTTGTTTTCTCCCCTTTCAAATTTTGTTCAGTTATCAATTGTGTCCATTGTGCTCATAAATTCTCTGTATGATAAAATAATTAATCTAACCATATTATAAATAATTTCAGTTGCAGCTCTCAGTCGACTTACATATAAGATTTGGTGAACAGTATCCCTGAATGACTAGACCTGGTGCTAAAACTAACACTTTTTTTTTGATTGAATCATCAATAGCCAGTTCATTAACAGAACTGTTCTATAATTAAAAAGCGATTAACACAATAACAGTAATCAAAACTACTTCTTGGCCTTTTTTAAAAATATTACTTCACAATAGGTCACTTTCAACATATTTCAATTCAGCTTGATAGTGGGGCCCAGTGTTGGAGACTAAATCCAGAAAAATCTCTGCAGTGATTCACAAACCATATGTTTTCTCAGTATCTCATAATTACGAATGTCCATGCTTGCCATTTCGAGTTGAGCTTCCTTGTTCTGGTCCATTTACGAGACACCTCCTAATAGGACACTGACCGATTTAACGATTTATTCTCATTTTTATCACCAACTCTTGACACTCCTTGGAAATATTTCCATATTTCCATAGTGTTAAGCTGAAACCTTACACAGATAAATGAACAGCTGGCTACTCAATTTGCATATTTCCCTAGAATCAAGACATTGAAGTGAACAACTTGTCGGTAGGCTAAAGACTAAATAATATCGTTGTTCCTAATGTGTACCTTTTCAATTCTCGTGTACTAAATAAAATATTATTGAGACAGGGCGATATTCCATTTTATCTATTTACAAGACACTAAGTTGTGTTTTATCAGCAAATTAGTTGGACATCATAAAAAAAGGTAAAAAAAAAAAACAAACACTGGTAAGTTTTTGTTTGGAGATATTCTTGCCAAAATGGAAAACAAAAAGGAGTGTTATCAATAATTCGTACTCGCCAAATGGGTGAGTGATCGATGATTTGTACTTGCCCAACACTTTTCACACTCGCACTGGCGAGCAGTCAGCACTAATTACCAACACTGGAGGCCTAGAGGGCACAAACAAATGAAATGAATAAACATGTCATTCAATTCCCTTTGTTTGTGTCCTCTGGGTCTCACTGCCAAGCTGAATTTTAATATATCGAAAACAGTCTGAAGCCACTCACTGCTGCTTTGCCAACACCATATGCAACATTGAACAGGTAATGCATTCCTCCAGAAGATGACACATTGACAATGAGCCCCTGTTTTGCTGGAACCATCATCTTGGCTGCGTACCAGGCAGCAACATAATTGGACCTTTCAGGAAAAGAAAATAAGAAACATACCATCAAAATACAACTGTACTGAGAAAGGTTAAATGTGAC